GTCACCACCACACCCACCCCCGCCGTTACCGCCACCACCACCCCTACCACTGCCCCAGTCCCCGCCCCCATTGCCATCCACCACAACCATCACCATCTCCTTCCACCACTACTGCCGCCCACCACCTCTCACTCCCACTACAAACCGTTACAAAGATGTTTATTGTTTATCATTTTTTATTACTCTGTGCCTTCAGGCACAGACAATAACTAGTGTATAAATATGATGTAATAATATAAATATTATTTTAATTTTATCGGTTGAAAAAAAAAAACTAAATCTTAAGGTGCCCACCCAAAAAACAATTTCTGACTCCGCCCACCCTTAGACCCTGCACTGAAAAGAGCCTTCTACAGTGGACTGTCCACACATAAACGGGAGAAAAAGATGAACCTGCATGATAATCCACAAAGACCATGCAGTGTAGGCTGAGAGCATGATGAGAGAACCCATAATCCACTCCCCTTTGGAACTATGCTTAGTGGATAAGTGTGAAGTGTTTCTTTGGATTGATGGATACACAGGAGGTCCTTTAACAAAGGCAAACACCAAAGCCCCAGATATACAAACCACAGAACCCAATATCTTGGCCATTCCGTGCCTTTCCTTTATGGAGATGCTTTCCATCCTGAAACATTGAACTCTCAAATTAAAATTATTTCCTGTAAGAAATAAAAAAATTCAAGTTACTATTTATTTGATTTACCTCAAAAAAACAGCCAGAATAAAGGTCACGGCAGGGACGGTGGTGGTACTCGCAGCAGCAAATGTTGCAGATGTGTAATTTATTGCAAAATAATAGGGAATCAAAAATAAAGTGATCCTGATAATTATTAATACATGAAGCTGTATCAAAAAAATAAAAAAATCATAGTATTCTAGAGACTAGATTTGTTGCCACTAGCAGATTAAACATTATATAAGTATGTTATATGTATGTGGACATACATACATACCCACATAAAGCAACCAAGAAGATCTTGCAAAGTAAGCTGAATGATAGAGAAGAAGACTTCTTCCTGCAGAAAAAGATGTAAATATAAAACATCAAACAGAAAAATAAATAAGGTCAGAGGCCACAAAGGCAGTGTTAGAGGGAAAGACAGTAGCTAGAATTTAGAAATGTTTGGTGTAACCTTTCAAGGAAGAAAGCAAAAGGAGCCAAGGAAAGAGTGGCAAGTGCCTGCCGATAAACGACAAAGACGAAAGGGTTCATTCCATCAGCTATGGCCTTCTTGGAGACCAACGCCAAACCTGCATCCACAAACTGTAAGAAGAACATCATAATATAAGGCTTAATGGTTTCCCAACCCATCACTTAGCAGAGTGGAAACTTATGGTTTACTATATTTGGCCACTAGGACTTGGATTCGGAAGTCTTTGATTTATAGAGAGACTTGTCCACTCAAATTTATGGGGCATGGGTAGTGGAATATTCCTCAAGTTGTAATGATATACGGAGTCGATTTAATTCATTTTTTGTTGTGTGTTATTCATGGTAGATAAAAAAGCTTCCTCATTTATTATCTGAGTTTAGTGGCAAGAAGGTGGTAGTGGTTTGACCACCCCTTTTTGTTTGCGAACAAATTCATATGCAGCGCTATGTGAAGTCTGCCTCCAAGCATGGGGAATATGTGGTTCTCTTTTTTGTTTTTTCAACGTAGAGGGATGGAGATTGGGCATGATACAACACAGAGGAGTAGTACCTAACAAAGCTACTAGTGGAGACAAATATTTCATTGCTTTTAACTCTATTGGAGTAACCACCCAACCATTTGAAATATGAAAAGTGCTTTCAAGCATAATCTGATTGTTCTGATTCTCAAATGTGAATATTATCGCATGAGTAATGTTACACTGATCAAATTTGGAGTCTAAATGATATGACATCATATTATTTAAAGTCTTTGTTGTGGCTTAAATGACATGACACCAAACAAAGAAATCTAAACCAGCTGTCATGTCATTTTATCTCTAAATTTGATTCCAAAATTTGGTCAGTGTAGTATGACTCTTATCACATATTTCTAACACTTTTCACTTGTTGATTGTATCAGAGATTTTATAAAATAAAATTAATCAATCTCAGGGATTCAACCATCCACTCACTTTTTTTTTTAATGTAATCAATTGATCACATTTTTTCTTTTGAGGAATTTGTTTTTGGTCGATAACTTTTGTTTTAAAACTCGACATAAATTCTCCTTGCTTCTACTTTTTATTCAAGTCTTTTGATGTTTTTCATGTTCCACAAGTTTGCCATTTTCTTATTTTAAATTGTACTGTTACCAACATGATAAAGATGTTTTATTATAATTAACTTCTTATTATTCATTAATTGAGGGTTCTATTCTTGAGTAATTATTTTACTGCCTGAAAAAAAAAAAGAGTTCTTTTCTTCTGGGTGAATTTTATTCCAAGGTTCCAACCTCCCAAATGAAGCCAAAGTTAGTTGTATGGTGAACAACAATCAATGCCAATGGCCTCATTCAAACTCCCAAGTGCTGATGGATATTAGTCTATCTATGCCCAATTACCTCCCAAACTACCTGAGGAGTGATACTATTAAGTGGTCCTTAACCCACAAAGGCCACTTTTTCTCTGCATCAGCATGGAACCAACTGAGGACCCAATCCCCAAGTGTACCATGGCATCACTTGGTGTGGTATAGTCTGGCCATACCTAGAATGAGATTCATACTAAGGTCAGTGGGGACAGTCCCCACTGCAATTTTGAAAATCTTTAGGGTGTATTTAGAATTTTAAAATTTTTAGAATATTGCTCCAGTGCAATGCTCTAAAAGTGAGGATAACCTTGTGAATTTAACAATGCATGGGCTTCTTTCATAAAGGTTCTATTGGATGAGAGATGGCACATACATAATTTTTTCACTTTGATAACTTTTGTTATTTTTTGATTTTTTAGGTGCATTTATTTTGATTTCTATTATTGCCACCTTTTTTTTTTCCTATTGTAGAATATAGCTTTGATTATTTAAATTTAAATTGAAATATCACGATGCTTATAATAATTTATTTGAAAATTATGTGAAATGTATGGATTTTTAAAAATTGGATGGTGAGGAAGGCATAAAAGACTTCAATTTTTGCAAAATGAGTTTGTTGAGATAACTTTCAATCTTGAGTAGACATTTATGAATAGTTTTACGGTGAGTCCCCCCCCCCCATTTTGTACGTTGCTTGTTTATTTGATTTGTACATTGATAATAAAATTATACATATAAAAAAATATTGTTAATTATGCCTTTTGTTATTGAATTTTAGGTTGCCCCCACTATAAAAAAAGTCTGACTCCGCCGCGACTATGGTCGGCCATTAGAAGGAAAACTCAGCACCAAGGACAGGATTCAAAGCTATGCTAATCATATGGCTACGGGTATTCGGTGCACTCTCTCTAGTATTGCAAGTGAAACCCATAAGCACCACCACTTGGAGTGCCAGTTTACCCATAACCCCCTTTGTAGAATACCTTATCTTTAAGCACACCCCTATATTATTTGAAATTTCACTCACACCCTCTATAACACTTTGTTGACTGACGGAGGTAACATAATAAGTCAAGTTACTATATTAACCCTACCAATCTCACATATTATTATTTACACATATCTATATTATAAAGTAACTTACAATTCAAATTTCAAAAGATAAACAAAATGATTTTTGCTTTTCGCGGTTCAGATCATTTTAATTTTTATTTTAAAATTAATCTAACAGTTAATATTAACACCCTAAATTTTATAAGAAAAATAAAGCTCTAATAGTCTATTTGGAGTGACTTTTTAAAAATACTTTTATGTATTATTTCTTATAAGTACTTTATAAAAAAATAGTGTTTGAAACCGCCTCACTACTACCTCTACCACCACCGCCACCACCATCACCGTCGCCATCACCATTGCCGCCACCACTGTACTTGTGGTATGAGGAACATGTATATTGATCACTTTTGTAAGAGAGTAGGAGCAATCTTTTAATGGTGGCTGGTGGTTTAACTTACACTATAGACCAGAGGATTATGGATTCCTATATTCTTGGTCTAACAATTCCAAATTTACGGGCTACTGTGATAGTGATTGAGTCAGAGATATGGATGATAGAAAAAGTACTATCGGATATGTTTTCTTCATGGGAGATACCACATTTGCTTGGAGTTCAAAGAAGCAACCCATGGCTCTTTCAACTTGTTGAGCCAAGTATGTGGCGGCTACATCAAGTGTTTGTCAAGCCATTTGGTTTAGAAATTTGTTGAAGGAGATTCATTTGCTTCAAGAAGAATCAACAGAGACCTTCATTGACAACAAATCGGCACTAACATTGGCAAAGAATCTAGTGTTTCATGATCATAGTAAGCATATTGACATAAGGAACCTTTTCATTAGAGAGTATGAAACAAAGAAAGAAATGGAGCTCAAGTTTGTAAAGTCTCAAGATCAAATTGCTGGATGTCTTTTGCAAATTGAGAAGTTTGCTTGAGGTTGAGAAGAAAAATCATGTTTAAGGGGGGTGTTGGAAAAATAATAATAAATATGATTTTTAATGTTCTAGGAGTTATTTTTATGCATTTAGTTTTTTGTATAAGTGGATCATTATTTTGGTATTAGTGGGGGACAAAGTAATTGTGATATTTTAATTCTCCAAGTAATGGAGGAGGTGAGTCTTTATTATTTTTATTATTTCATTATATAGTGGAGTTATTTTGAGTGTCATGTGTTATATATGAGAATCTATATATATCCTATGTAATACATCAATTTAGACATAAGTGAATAGAAAGAGTTTTTTCTATCTTCAATAGTCTCTTTCATTATATTTTGTGAGTGTGTGATAGTCCTCTAAATTCTAACAGATAGTGATCGGAATGAAACTAGTATTATGAGTTGAAGATTATAGAGAGAGAGAGAGAGAGAGAGAGAATAGTGGATATAGTGTATGGTATTAGGGTTATGCATATCCATTCCTGGTTATTATGCTTCTGTATGGACCAATGACCACCCCTTTTTGTTTTCGAACAAATTCATATGCAGCACTTCGCGAAGTATGCCTCCAAGCATGTGGAATGTGGTTCTTTATTTTTTTTCAATGTTGAGGGATGGAGATTGGGCATGATTTACAGTATCGACTGATAACATGATACGACACAGATGAGTCGTACCAAACAAAGCACTTTTTTTTGTTTCATGACCGATGCACGTTCTGTGTAAATCACGAGTCTCACTCACCTCTTGATTGACTAAGAGACATTCACGTCATTAGTTGATGACGTCACAATATAAATTGAATCTGTCGCCATGTTCAACTTCTTCTTCTCCTACTTACTATTTTGTATGTATAATCTAGTACCATTTCACGACATCCCGAATAATGTGGCCTCAATGTCTTACAAGTCAGTGAGTTCTTAGACTACATGTGTTTGTTGAAAAGAATAGTCATACAATTACCCTTGTTGTCTAAAGGATAATAAGCCAGTTATGAATATTTTATTTGCACATTATTGCAGGTTAACCATCATAATGAGTTCGGTGCTTTTAAAAGGTTCTAAAAACATGGTTGTGTAAATTTGCAATATCGGAATCATCAGCAACTAGTGGACACAAAAATTTCATTGCTTTAACTCTTTTGTGGAGGAACCACTCAACCATTTGAAATATGAAAAATGCTTTGAAGCATAATCTGATTGTTCTGATTCTCAAATGCACAGATTTCTAACACTTTTCAGTTGTTGATTGGATCAAAGATTTCATAAAATAAAATTAATCAATCTTATTGGTGCAATCATCCACTTACTCTTTTTAAAGTCATCAATTAGTCAAATCTTGTCTTCGGTGGAATTTTTTTTTGTCGATAACTTTTGTTTTAACACTCGACATTGATTCTCCTTGATTCTACTTTTATTCGAGTCTTTTGATGTTTTTTTATGTTAGACAAGTATTACGAGTTTCTTATTTTAAATGGGACTTATACCAACAAGATATGCATCGGATATCACCGATAATACATCGATTTTCTCATACCAGCACTAATGCACCGAATTTCATCAGAACTCCGTAGTTAAGCGTGCTTGGGCGAGAGTAGTACTAGGATGAGTGACCCCTTAGAAAGTCCTCGTGTTGCACCCCTATTTAAAAAAAAAAATATATTATAATTAACTTGTTATTATTCCTTAATTAAGGGTTCTATTCTTTTTTTAAATGCGACTGTTACCGACAAGATAAACTGTTAAAGATGTTTTATTATAATTAACTTGTTATAATTCCTTAATTTTTTTTGTCCTTAGGATGAACCAATATACACTCTCTCATGCGCTAAGGGCTCAGTCTCTCTATCCTATTGCTATACCTTACATTCGACAGGACATGATTAGCTTTTTCAATCTTTCATGCTTATTTTTTTAAGTAAAGTCTGATTTGTCCGACCGATTAATTCATGAACTAACTATCCCAAAAGTGCGATTTGAAATCGAGTCTCACCAGTTGTGTATAGGTGCTTTGCACTGAAAAATCACCAACTCAATTGAGTCGAAATTGAACCTAATAATTTAGTCGTAAGTTATTTGATCGAGAGGTAGCATTCAGTGCGGAATTGGAAATTAATTTATTTTTTTGTTAAATCCCATAATACTATTGAGACCTAATTTGCTGATTTAATTCACTATGACCTTTGGATTGACTGTGAATTCCATCAAACATTGAAATTTGGTGTTAATCCAATGGTTTCAATGAAGCCACATCATTAGATCAAGAAATTATGTCAGATTTTTAGGTTCTAATAACATTACTCAAAATTAAATTGGACGGAGTAGGAGATTTGTGCAACAAAAAAAGATTAATACAAATTTACATATTATTAACAAGAGATTTAAATCAATAATATTAATGATGACAATTCAGCTCCTCCATTTCTCAGAGGTGGATTTCTAATTTCACCCTGGTTGAAGCCATTTGCTGCAAGTCAATTACTCATAATGTGCTCCAGTTTGGCTTTCTCTTTCCTTTCTGAAATCTGTTCATTTCCTTCATATTATGCTTCCCCCACCACACAAAACGCTGTAGAGCCCAGCTACTAACATTATAGCCCCACAAACACTGCAAAATAAACAGAGAAGGCAAGAAGAAGAAGAAGAACAATAATCCTCATCAATGTCTAAATGCAGGAGTTTTGTTTAATTCACATGCAAAAACGTGTGTCCACGCGAACACGCACTATTTATAAAGGTAAGACTCTGATATTAGAAATTATGTTTTTCAGTGTCGTACTGAAGTTATTACAAAATAAGCCGTCAAATTACAACTCAATCTTGTGAGATTACACCAAAATAAAGTTATTTGACATTCATCATAATATTTTAAGATCAGTCTTACTTTTTATTTGCTGTAACAAGACCCCATTTAGTTATAACTCACTCAACCCAAGAGGTTGTAACGTGGTCAAAAAGAAAATATAATTTTTAGTACGCTAACTCATTTGGTACCGTAGTCTTACCCGCATCTAATTTATTTATTCTCACTAATTATAAGGGTGTGAACTGTGAACCTTCCCCAGTGATAGGTTTCTCTCTAGAAAGCTGCTCAGAGAATCGCAGTTATAATAAGTGTCAATTGATTGAACATAGCTACGAAGACAGACACTTTCTTCTGTATGACCCAAATTCCTAACCAGTTACCAATACCACTCACGAACACAACCTGCCATTTCCATGAAAATGTCAATTTAACAGACACCAAAATCCATATACTATACTATAGCTTTGTATGGATGGAGATAACTTTTTGCTTCGGCAATAGGCTGATGCTAACTTTTTGTGTCGAAACGTTTTTTGTCTCGCCCTTTTGCCCAAGTTAAAAACAGTGTTTTTCTTGTGGTATGAGGAACATGTATATTGATCAGTTTTGTAAGGGAGTTGGAGCAATCTTTTAATGGTGGCTGGTGGTTTAACTTGCACAATAGACCAGAGGCAGAAGATGGGAATCCCATCGAAGCTTCCATGATGATTTCTTCCTATCCACAGCAACAGCCCAAAGTGCAGATTGTATGCAACTAAAGAAGGTTTGGAGAGCTAAAAGTCGTAGCCTCAATGAAAATTGCTTGACGATAGGACCCTGAAAGCAAGAACAAAAGGTCGGGACTAAAGCAGCTATCGAATTCAACTATCATGGACATTAGACCAAAGTTTTAAACAAGACTCGTTCAAAACGTAACACAATGATTAATATAAGGGTAAATTTTATTTACACTCCCTTGTAGATAAGCTTAACTTCAATGATATCACCTTCTTTTTTTTTGAATTTCACTTTACTCCCTTTTGATTCATATGTTCATTCAATTAAACCTTTTACTGTGGATCTCCATTACCGACAAATCAAAAATGCTGATGTCAGGTAATTCTTTTTCTTTGTGAAATCATCTTAGTCTCTCCACCAGTTGCCAATGCACATAACACACGTACCACTAACACAATACACTGTTACGTGCAATTGGAGTTGAAGGAGTCAAAGGGTTTACTTGATTAGGATAAATGCATCTATCTTTTCGTTGTTAACTTATTCTTCCTTTTCAATAAGTAGTAGTTGATATTTTGTAATAGAAGATTATTTTTGTTGCTACTATGCAGAGAATAGTTGCTTCTCTTTAGCTATTTTTTGTTATAAGTCTTTAAAAATAAGCCTCTGTCATTGAATAAAAGGCATCACAAAATTTCTAAATTCTCTGTTTTCCTTTAATCTCTTGCTCTTTCTTATTCTTGGTAGTTTTAAATTCATATCTATCAGAGTCAATTGATGATTTGAAGTACGGAATAAAATACAATATTTTCCTTTCTTTAAATCTATTTTCAAAAGTGTTCTATTGATTATCTTGAAATTCGTATTTCTATTTTGCTAGTTTGATTGAGATGAAATTCTGTAAGTTTTGAGCTGACTTATTTTTGGGCTAATTACTTTGGGATTTATTTGTACATGGATGAAGCGCACTTGAACACATATTTTGTAAATTGTGATTATGACTATATGGGGTGTGATTGTAGCCCTACAAGTGTGATTGACTAGTATAAGTTTTGATTTTTGTTCAAATGTCACATGTCATGTTTCAAATATAAATCAAGTATGAGATTGTGTATGTTGAAAGTTTATTTATTGTCATATGTAATATTTGAATGATGATTTTGTAATTGCTTATCAATTGAATTATTTGGTATTTGATCATTCATACCTTTATTGTTAAACGTATTATTTCTTGTTATATTGTATACTTCACCACTTAATTAATTTCACAAGCTGGCCTTGCAGCAAAGATGTTATTGAAATATTTGAGAAATCGAAGATGGACACATATCGATACCATTTTTGTAATATTGAATTGTGAGATATATTTATATTTGGAGATTCAATTATCAATGAAAATTTTTATTGAAGTAATTAGAATTTTAACTGTTTGTTTGGAGGTACTTTTGTGAAATTTTGTCAATTGATTTAGATAACGCATCTGGAAATCAGAGCATTACAGTTTGTTTATGAAAATCTTAATAACATCATGGTGGAAAAAAGTTAACAAAAAAAGTTATATATAGACTTGCCAATTATAAATACGAACCGCGAATTCAACATAAAATCGATATAGAATTAAGGGTTTGAGTTTAGCTTTAAAAGGTTAGGATGATAAGTTAATGGATCTTTTAGATCCATTAAATAAATTAGTGGATACTAACTTGGCTAAAACACGACAAGAACCCGATAAACATTACTTTTACACACGACACAAACATGATACTACTTGAGCCTGACTTTACACAATTATAAATGGGTTGATGATGAATTGAATAAATTTTGATGCAACACGATTTAAACACACACAAACTCACCATTAGGAGTTCTATATGTATCTAATTGACATAGTGATACGCAACAATAATACACTTTCAGTTCCTCCAGTTCTCAAAGGTGGACTCCCGACTCCGGCCCGGTTGAAGCCACTTGCAACAAGTCGATTACTCATTTGTGATCTGCTCAAGTTTCACTTCCTCTTTGCTTTTGGATTTCTGTTCCTTTTTTGCATATTTTTCTTCTTTATGCTTCCCCCACAAGACACTGTAGAGGCGAACTACAGAGACTATAGCACCACAAAGACTAACAGAAAAAGAAGGGAGGGTGAACAATAATCCTCATTAATGTGTAAAATGATGTCTAGGGTTGCAAGTGATCAATCGAGCTGTGCAGCAAGTAGAAATCAGATGGGGTTAAAACTCGTCCAAGTTCATTCATTTATAAAATGAACAAAGCTCAAGTTGGATTTTAAAACTCGTTTAACAAATAAATTGAGTTCAAGCAATGACTTGTTCGATTCGGTTAAACTCCCGAAGACAACCATATATATTTAGGGCACCTTACTAACCAATAATCATCCTAAACAAGCCAAGCTTGATGTTGAACATGAGTTTGTACTCGAGCTCAAATAGTCCAGTATTCAGTTTGGTTCGATGTATTTGCACCCACCATCTTGTCCAACCTTTATTGTTTTTCAATTTTCACATGCCTACACACAATACACATACACATACTGCACATGAAATATACATTACAAGTAATGGATGATAAGGGTTTGAACCTGCCCCAGTGAAAGGTCTCCCCCCACAAAAATGCTGAGAAGATCGCTGTTATAATAAGTTGTAATGGAGTGAACATAGCTATGAAGACCGGGCCTTTCCTCTCTATAACCCAAACTCGTAACCAATAAGTTATTCCAGTAATGACCACACCCTGCATACCATTTTTCAGCAAAAGGTCAAATTAACAAGGCCAAAATCCATATAATGCATGTCAGCTTTGTCGGGATGTCTACATGCATACTTAATATGTTAGTTTGATAGAGTGCCGGATGGAGCAAGGTCGGGATTAGGATTTTGTTCGTCCATCCACAAGGAGGACCATAAACTCAGACTGCCAATGTAGACAATATTTTAATTTTTTTTATTCAAAATTTGATGCATTAAATTCTATTGGGCAAAAAATATTTTCATCAATCAAGAACGGTATATTAATATATGTTGCATGTACAAGATATGTTAGTTTTTTTTTTTTTGGGGGGATATGAAATCTGTCCTTGGTGCCAATGTCTCTTCAATTTA